AGATTACAGTAATGTGTTACAAGTAACGCGTTACTGCCCATCTCTGTTTGTGACAAAGAGTGAGAAACAGCACTGTTGGTTGATAACACTGATGAAACCCAACCTGAAACCAATGAATGATTTTTCCTTTGCAATACCTAAAAAAAACCTGCATCAACTAAATTCCACTAACCTATGCCAAGGTCAAGGTCAGAGGTCAACGTTTCTGAAAAACATCTAGGATTTTCAAGTTGATGTTATCAGAAAGTCAAGCTAATGCGGAGTTCCCTTAAATATGCATCTGTCTAGAGGCAACTCCTGTGGCTCCAATAGATATCCAGTTGTTTGAGGTCTTTGGGAAAGCTGCCCTCAGCTTCCTTTCCCTGTAACCTCAGTGAAGCGTTCCTGATAAGTCTTAAATACAACATGGTTCTTATTTGGAAATAATGGTTCTCAGTTATAGTCACACAAGAGAATAAAGCAGGGTATGGTTTTCAGTAGGTGAAGTTGTGCCAGAAATATTTGTGTACATTCTCATCAATTAAAGTGTCCACTGGCCTGTAAGTGTGAATAGACTGTACAGTCCTGGCCTGATGAGTAAGAACTTACCTGGATGATTGAGCATGCATCATTTCATCTTTTGTTAGTTCTAGCAGTGCACTGTTGGTTTCCTTGATACTTCACCTGACTGACACAGTACCTCAGGGCTGGAGTGACATTGGGGTAACTAATATTTTTTTGTTGTTTTTTTATTTATGCTCTGATGATGTGGAATGGAATGAGTTTTTGTACAATATAATTTTACTGGTATGTGGAAAGTGTATTTAAAATGAAGGCAATTCAATGGTTTCTCTCTTTACAGAAGTTTCAGTTTTGAATTAAAGTGTAAAAGTAAAATAAAAAATGAAGCTAAATAATACAAAATACAGTAAACTGCCTTTCACCGACATAAAACAACTATAGTGCAGCATACTTAAACATATTAAAACTTGAGCAGTGGTTATAATAAGTCTGCTTTTCCCAGACAGTGTCTCAGCTTAGACCTCAGTTCAATGGACTGATAACATGAGAGGCAGGTAGCAAAATCCATCCTGCTAATCTTTGAAATACAATTTGATGTGAGGTTTAGTTTTGGGAATGTCACTCAGGTCCGGCACTGCACATACAACTGGCACATCATTTAAATTTTGAGTATAAAGAACTGTGCAGTTGTTCAGTGAAAAAGCAAGTGAAGTAACCCTTCACTTATTTCTTGACAATGAAATAAAAACAGAAGTTAAATGAGTTGCAGAGGCT